ACAGGGAAAATAGAGAATAACATAACTTCACATAAGCTGCGTTTCCATTGAATAATGCGCAAAAACTTTTTCGATACATTTCAAAATTCGAAAAACCTGTAATTCGCAAAAGCGGCCGTTTCCATTAAGACATATTTGAGTATACACTATTTTTGCGCGTTTATTCACTAGTTTCTAGTACGTCAACATGGCAACAGAAGTAAACAACACTTTGATTTACGTGAGATATATTAATGTCTTGACTTCTGCTGCGGCTCTCATCCTCTCTGACCTCTGACCCCGGGAGAAACTGTGGCTGCTTTGACAGCTCCGCGAACGCCGTGGTCATGTACCGAGCGCGGACCATAGACGCGCGCACAGAACCATAGACACGGGTCTTGCCTGTCCCCCCCGTCTCTCCCCCATGCCTCTCCCCCGTCTCTTCCCCGTCTCTCCCCCGTCTCTCCCCCATGCCTCTCCCCCGTCTCTCCCCCATGCCTCTCCCCCGTCTCTCCCCCATGCCTCTCCCCCGTCTCTCCCCCATGCCTCTTCCCCCGCTCTCTCCCCCGTCTCTCCCCCATGCCTCTCCCCCGTCTCTCCCCCATGCCTCTCCCCCGTCTCTCCCCCGTCTCTTCCCCGTCTCTCCCCCATGCCTCTCCCCCGTCTCTCCCCCATGCCTCTCCCCCATGCCTCTCCCCCGTCTCTCCCCCATGCCTCTCCCCCGTCTCTCCCCCATGCCTCTCCCCCGTCTCTCCCCCATGCCTCTCCCCCGTCTCTCCCCCGTCTCTCCCCCATGCCTCTCCCCCGTCTCTTCCCCGTCTCTCCCCCATGCCTCTCCCCCGTCTCTTCCCCGTCTCTCCCCCATGCCTCTCCCCCGTCTCTCCCCGTCTCTCCCCCATGCCTCTCCCACGTATCTCCCAAGTCTCCACACGAAGCGCAGCCAAAACTCACTGAATAAAGCTCAGCTCGGCTTCCTCCGCTATATCGAAATAAGTGTTTCCATTGCCATTTTGCGAAAAACTTAATTTCGATACGTCCAAAAAACCACAGATTTTAAGCGCATTAACTTTTTATCAAAAAACTGTGGTTTATTCGAAATTTGCGCGTTTCCATTAGACATTTTATGATGCGCAAATTCAAATTTCGAAATTTGATGCTCAATGGAAACGCAGCTATACAGAGCCTTCTCCTGTGACGCCGTCCAAACCCCTCCGCTGGTTTCCTTCCTGGTCTCTGAACCAGGACACACTCGTCTGCCCGAGTGAGCCTTGAAGCCAGCGGAAGGTCTTTCTTTACAATCCTTTCTCAATGCGGTCGTATCTCTCAGGACGCATTAGTGAATGTAGAATGTCTTTGTGGTGTTTCCTGATGGAAGAAGATGTGAGATTCCAAACAAAACTTAACATTTTTCAAGGACAACACACAACTAACGGCAAGGTTTCTCCAGAAAGAGAGACCAGAACCAGGACTTGGTGTCATGAATGGGGGATGGAGCATATATTGGTGTGTCAGCATGATGATTGGTCAAAACGCTCATATGATTCTCTGGTTCTGTAGAAGTAGAACCACTGCATTTACTGCACAAGACCCGGAGAACCAGAGCCAGAACACAACACTTCTACTGATGTTTGGGACGTCCATGGTGCGAGCATGAACCAGGCCATGATCTGAATGGGCAGACATCTTGGAGAGACCATTGGCAGACATCTTGGAGAGACATGAGGGAGACATCTTGGAGAGACCAGGGCCAGACATCTTGGAAACCTGGGGCAGACATCTTGGAGAGACCATTGGCAGACATCTTGGAGAGACATGAGGCAGACATCTTGGAGAGACCAGGGCCAGACATCTTGGAGACCAGGGCCAGACATCTTGGAGACCAGGGCCAGACATCTTGGAGACCAGGGCCAGACATCTTGGAGACCAGGGCCAGACATCTTGGAGATCTGAGTCGGACATCTTGGAGACCTGGGGCAGACATTTTGGGGATGTGAGGCGGACATCTTGGAGAGACCAGAGGCAGACATCTTGGAGAGACCAGGGGCTGACATCTTGGAGAGACCAGAGGCAGACATTTTGGAGAGACCAGGGGCAGACATCTTGGAGACCTGCGGCTTGGTCATTTCACATGACACACCCACCACACTCATGTTGCACTTTGCATCCACCTGAACGACCTCTTCACAGGGAGTACGACCCATGGGGGACCTCCTCAGATCGTGGAAGACCTCCAACCTCAGCTCAAATCTGAAAGAGAAGAAAGAGAAGTCAGCTCTCACAAGCATTCCGAAAAAACTCCACCTCTCAGAGAAAGAAGTTTTGTTACTGTGGGAGTATTGGGAGTTTTTTGTGACTCGAACCAAATGTGATATTCTCGATCCCACTGGTTTCTGTAAAAGTAGATATTGGTTTGATAAAGTGTGAGGAGTAGTGGATAGTGCTTGTGCCTCACAGCAAGTAGGTCCTGGGTTTGAATCCACCTCCCAGGTTCTCCCCATGTCTGTGTAAACATGTACAATAGGTCTGGCATGCTCCTCCTGTACGGCAACCAATCTATCTCTGTGTGGAGCGAGAGACAAAATGGTCAAAAAACAACTAATTATAAAGTGCTTCGTGACTCTGGTCTGTGAAAAGCGCTTTATAAATAAAGATTACTCACTTACTTACTTACCCCTGGTCTACGATGGTCTGGGACATTTAAGGACCTTATTGGACAGTGGTCGTCCGCTTCCCTCTGGACCTATGAATTTGTTATTATTGCACTGCTTGATTCTCTAATCTGTTGGTGAGGAATCCTCCGAGAAGTGAAGTCCTCAGAGACGACTGCTGTTGTGATTTATGTCGATAAAAACATAATTTGATTTGACTTAAATGAATTCAATAAACAGCAATGAGACCACGAGCGGTTGGTTCCTCCTGGAGAGCGGAGGGTTCTACGACCTGCAACATGGACCGCGTGTCGTGTGCTTTGGAAATGAGGACCTTTGATCTTTCATATTCTACTAATTATCTGCAGGACGTTGAACATGTTTTGTCTTCACGGTAATACTCTGAAAAATGCATTAAACATAAATATGAATAAAAAGTTGACATTGATGACTTTCCAAGAGCAAAGAGCAGCAGATGTTTGAACGACGCTGGACTGGAACAATTATCTCTGTTTCAGAGTAAATATCTGCAGATGAAGCCGTTTAAAAGTTTATTTACTGTAATTCAACTGAAGGAGTGGAATCAATAAGTGTGTCTCTTCTGCATCAAGCCTTTTTTCAACGTTGATAATTGGCTCAGAGTAAAAATCAAGAACAAAACATCTCAGAAAATGAGAATATGTTGGAGTTTGGATGATAAACTATAAACTGTTGCTGTCTATGGTCAGTAAACAGTGTGTGCTTTAAACATGATTCAATAACTGCAGACGAAATGGGCTCCAAAACGTCTGTCTTGAAGCGTTGCTAACTCACTGACTGCCTTTGGTGCATTACTCTGAGACGCTCTATCCGACTGCGGATTACAGGACAACAAAAACAGCTAAAAACAACCTAATTTTACTGATGAAAGTAGACAGCCCAGTCTTTCAGAATCTAGTTTCATTTTACACATAGTCTCAGCACGTGATCTCTGTGGGGTCTCGAGAATCAGTGAAATCATCAAAAACAGCTGCCAGTCAATGAGTTAATAGTACGGATGTGAATGAATGTGTTAAAGTAGTGCCTCCTTCACCGGACAAACAAGCTAAAGCTAAAAGTGACCGTTATTAATCCCCGTAGGGCAATTCCTCCTCTGCATTTGACCCAGATGCCACCAAGGCTTACGTCAGGAGCAGCGGTCGCCGGGAACCATCACCAGATGTTGATGCTCGGCTTGGTCAGGACAACCAGAGTTGGAGGATTTTAACTATTGTGCATGTTTTTAGTGGTAGGGGAATCTGGAGCACCCAGAGGAAACCGACGCAGGCACGGGGAGAACATGCAAACTCCACTCAGAAAGTAAACGTAATCTGTATTTATATACCGCCTTTCACAGACCAGAGTCACAAAGCGGTTTACAATTGTGGGCGAAGAAGGGTTCTGTTCTGACCGGGATTCAAACCCAGGACCTTCTTGCTGAGAAGCGGGAATGCTAACCACTCAGCCACCCTGTCGCCCCTGGAAAATTAACAGAGTGGGTGTTTTAAACATACAGCAGTAGCGGGCGCACACATTTCGGGACTTTTTCGTGTCATTGACCCAAACGTAACACATTGGTACAGTTTAGTGTGGACTGAGCACTATGCAAAGTTGTCGATTCACCAACACAGATCAGAAAATCAAACATGTATACAAGGGAATGCAAAAACCAAAACCACATAGAGCTATTGATCCATTATGACAGAGACCAATGTCCATGAATGTAAATAAATAGAGTGTCCTGGGTCCTCTCTGTCCATAGAACATAACCCTTTGAACTTGTTTGCGTCATTCTGAAGCTGAATTCCACGGACTGAGCTGCAGCACAACAAGCCTGCTCTGGCGGACACATAAATCCCTCTGACATCTATTCTTCCAGTCGACCCGAGCGCCGCCGGGGTCACGGTTTTCGGGGAGAACCTCCGCCAACACTGGAACCCATTCTAACTGAACTGGGATCAGCTCCAGACTGTTCACATTTACTATCAAAAGACCTTCTGGACGCGGCCACGACTTTAATACAAACCAGAAGTCATTACGGAGATTTACAAATAATATATCTTTGCGATTTGGGTTTTGGACGTCGGCGTAATAACCGTCGTTGGCGTCTGTCCATTTCTCGGGGTCTTGTTCTGTTTAAAATCAAATGATGGTAGAGCAATGGGGGGGGGGGTCAGGGCGCGCTCTTAAATCATGTCTAAGCGGTTCGAGTCCCGCAGAGGCACGCAGACCCGGGCCTGGGCTAATGACTGGCCCACTGTGCGACCCCGCTGGTCCAGGACGGGTCCAGGACTGATCCAGGACTGATCCAGGCTCAGGGCTGCAGAGGCCGACGTGGTGCTGTGGAGTGGGCAGATGAGATCACTGGGGGCTGGTGTGTACAGTGTGGGGGGGGGGGGGGGGGGGGGGGGGGGGGGAGTGAGGGGGGGTGGGGGGGTGAGGGGGGGAGGGGGGGAGGTGAGGGGGGGTTGAGGGGGGTGAGGGGGGGGGGGGGGGCAGACACATGTGCTGAGTAGGGGATGAGACTGAAGTGGAAGTTGCGAGGTTCACATAGACACAGGTACACATAGACACAGGTACATATAGACACAGGTACACATAGACACAGGTACACATAGACACAGGTACACATAGACACAGGTACATACAGACACAGGTACATACAGACACAGGTACACATAGACACAGGTACATACAGACACAGGTACATATAGACACAGGTACATATAGACACAGGTACATATAGACACAGGTACACATAGACGCAGGTACATATAGACGCAGGTACATATAGACACAGGTACATATAGACACAGGTACATATAGACACAGGTACATATAGACACAGGTACACATAGACACAGGTACACATAGACACAGGTACATATAGACACAGGTACACATAGACACAGGTACACATAGACACAGGTACATCTGTGTGATGTGGTATGATTTAATCTTATTAAATCATACCTTTCAGCTCGCACACAAGTCGTACAAATCAACAATCCTAATTCCCATCCATTACAATTATCCACTGGAGTGCCTCAAGGCTCAATAATTGGCCCTATTCTTTTTAGCATATACATTAATGATTTACCATCAGTATCCAAGACCTGTAACACCCTTATGTATGCAGATGATACGGTCATTTTTGCACGTGGCAAAACAACAGAGGAGGTTGCTTCAAAGCTAACAGAGGCCATGGCGTTGGTCACATCCTGGCTCGAAAAATCCTGCCTTCAACTTAATATATCCAAAACTGTTTGTATGTTCTTCTCAAAAAACACCAGAAATACTATAAACATTATACCAGATAGTCACAGAATTCAAATATCTAGGATTATACATTGATTCAAACCTCAGCTTCAAAACACACATCCAAAACACTAGCAATAAGATTAAATTCTGTTTATCAAATTTTAGGTTCATTAGAGACTGTTTGTCAAATGAAGTTGCCAAAATATACTTCTTTTCCATGGTCCTCTCACATATCACATACTGTATCATAAGTTGGTCAAACGCACACGCCACAACAATCAAACCCATGAAATCATTATATAAACAAGCGCTTAAAACATTGGATAAAAAACCCTACAGATATCACCATTGTCAGATTTTACAGAAATATAAGTTACTAAATTGGGACAATCTTATAAAATTCAAAAACATCTGTTTAATGTATAAAATTAAAACTGGCTGTGCTCCGCCTTCACTGAGCGAGTTTGTAAACTTCAGATCGAGTGCAGCCAGAGTAACTCGACTGCGTCCTCAGAAAAACTGCATTTGGTCGTGTTTTCTTATAAAGGCCGTGTTTTCTTATAAAGGCCGTGTTTTCTTATAAAGGTCGTGTTTTCTTATAAAGGCCGTGTTTTCTCATAAAGGCCGTGTTTTCTTATAAAGGTCGTGTTTTCTTATAAAGGCCGTGTTTTCTTATAAAGGCCGTGTTTTCTTATAAAGGCCGTGTTTTCTTATAAAGGCCGTGTTTTCTTATAAAGGCCGTGTTTTCTTATAAAGGTCGTGTATTCTTATAAAGGTCGTGTTTTCTTATAAAGGTCGTGTTTTCTTATAAAGGTCGTGTTTTCTTATAAAGGCCGTGTTTTCTTATAAAGGCCGTGTTTTCTTATAAAGGCCGTGTTTTCTTATAAAGGCCGTGTTTTCTTATAAAGGTCGTGTTTTCTTATAAAGGCCGTGTTTTCTTATAAAGGTCGTGTTTTCTTATAAAGGCCGTGTTTTCTTATAAAGGCCGTGTTTTCTTATAAAGGCCGTGTTTTCTTATAAATTCCGTGTTTTCTTATAAAGGCCGTGTTTTCTTATAAAGGCCGTGTTTTCTTATAAAGGTCGTGTTTTCTTATAAAGGCCGTGTTTTCTTATAAAGGCCGTGTTTTCTTATAAAGGCCGTGTTTTCTTATAAAGGTCGTGTTTTCTTATAAAGGCCGTGTTTTCTTATAAAGGCCGTGTTTTCTTATAAAGGCCGTGTTTTCTTATAAAGGCCGTGTTTTCTTATAAAGGTCGTGTTTTCTTATAAAGGTCGTGTTTTCTTATAAAGGTCGTGTTTTCTTATAAAGGCCGTGTTTTCTTATAAAGGCCGTGTTTTCTTATAAAGGCCGTGTTTTCTTATAAAGGCCGTGTTTTCTTATAAAGGCCGTGTTTTCTTATAAAGGTCGTGTTTTCTTATAAAGGCCGTGTTTTCTTATAAAGGCCGTGTTTTCTTATAAAGGCCGTGTTTTCTTATAAAGGCCGTGTTTTCTTATAAAGGCCGTGTTTTCTTATAAAGGTCGTGTTTTCTTATAAAGGTCGTGTTTTCTTATAAAGGCCGTGTTTTCTTATAAAGGTCGTGTTTTCTTATAAAGGTCGTGTTTTCTTATAAAGGCCGTGTTTTCTTATAAAGGCCGTGTTTTCTTATAAAGGCCGTGTTTTCTTATAAAGGCCGTGTTTTCTTATAAAGGTCGTGTTTTCTTATAAAGGTCGTGTTTTCTTATAAAGGTCGTGTTTTCTTATAAAGGTCGTGTTTTCTTATAAAGGCCGTGTTTTCTTATAAAGGCCGTGTTTTCTTATAAAGGCCGTGTTTTCTTATAAAGGTCGTGTTTTCTTATAAAGGCCGTGTTTTCTTATAAAGGGCGTGTTTTCTTATAAAGGCCGTGTTTTCTTATAAAGGCCGTGTTTTCTTATAAAGGTCGTGTTTTCTTATAAAGGCCGTGTTTTCTTATAAAGGCCGTGTTTTCTTATAAAGGTCGTGTTTTCTTATAAAGGTCGTGTTTTCTTATAAAGGCCGTGTTTTCTTATAAAGGCCGTGTTTTCTTATAAAGGCCGTGTTTTCTTATAAAGGCCGTGTTTTCTTATAAAGGCCGTGTTTTGTTATAAAGGCCGTGTTTTCTTATAAAGGCCGTGTTTTCTTATAAAGGTCGTGTTTTCTTATAAAGACCGTGTTTTCTTATAAAGGCCGTGTTTTCTTATAAAGGTCGTGTTTTCTTATAAAGGCCGTGTTTTCTTATAAAGGCCGTGTTTTCTTATAAAGGCCGTGTTTTCTTATAAAAGCGGTGTTTTCTTATAAAGGCCGTGTTTTCTTATAAAGGCCGTGTTTTCTTATAAAGGTCGTGTTTTCTTATAAAGGCCGTGTTTTCTTATAAAGGCCGTGTTTTCTTATAAAGGTCGTGTTTTCTTATAAAGGCCGTGTTTTCTTATAAAGGTCGTGTTTTCTTATAAAGGCCGTGTTTTCTTATAAAGGCCGTGTTTTCTTATAAAGGTCGTGTTTTCTTATAAAGGTCGTGTTTTCTTATAAAGGCCGTGTTTTCTTATAAAGGTCGTGTTTTCTTATAAAGGCCGTGTTTTCTTATAAAGGCCGTGTTTTCTTATAAAGGTCGTGTTTTCTTATAAAGGCCGTGTTTTCTTATAAAGGCCGTGTTTTCTTATAAAGGTCGTGTTTTCTTATAAAGGCCGTGTTTTCTTATAAAGGTCGTGTTTTCTTATAAAGGCCGTGTTTTCTTATAAAGGCCGTGTTTTCTTATAAAGGCCGTGTTTTCTTATAAAGGTCGTGTTTTCTTATAAAGGCCGTGTTTTCTTATAAAGGTCGTGTTTTCTTATAAAGGCCGTGTTTTCTTATAAAGGCCGTGTTTTCTTATAAAGGCTGTGTTTTCTTATAAAGGCCGTGTTTTCTTATAAAGGTCGTGTTTTCTTATAAAGGCCGTGTTTTCTTATAAAGGTCGTGTTTTCTTATAAAGGCCGTGTTTTCTTATAAAGGCCGTGTTTTCTTATAAAGGCCGTGTTTTCTTATAAAGGCCGTGTTTTCTTATAAAGGCCGTGTTTTCTTATAAAGGCCGTGTTTTCTTATAAAGGCCGTGTTTTCTTATAAAGGCCGTGTTTTCTTATAAAGGTCGTGTTTTCTTATAAAGGCCGTGTTTTCTTATAAAGGCCGTGTTTTCTTATAAAGGTCGTGTTTTCTTATAAAGGCCGTGTTTTCTTATAAAGGTCGTGTTTTCTTATAAAGGCCGTGTTTTCTTATAAAGGCCGTGTTTTCTTATAAAGGCCGTGTTTTCTTATAAAGGTCGTGTTTTCTTATAAAGGCCGTGTTTTCTTATAAAGGCCGTGTTTTCTTATAAAGGCCGTGTTTTCTTATAAAGGCCGTGTTTTCTTATAAAGGTCGTGTTTTCTTATAAAGGCCGTGTTTTAAAGGTCGTGTTTTCTTATAAAGGCTGTTTTCTTATAAAGGCCGTGTTTTCTTATAAAGGCCGTGTTTTCTTATAAAGGCCGTGTTTTCTTATAAAGGCCGTGTTTTCTTATAAAGGCCGTGTTTTCTTATAAAGGCCGTGTTTTCTTATAAAGGCCGTGTTTTCTTATAAAGGCCGTGTTTTCTTATAAAGGTCGTGTTTTCTTATAAAGGCCGTGTTTTCTTATAAAGGCCGTGTTTTCTTATAAAGGCCGTGTTTTCTTATAAAGGCCGTGTTTTCTTATAAAGGCCGTGTTTTCTTATAAAGGCCGTGTTTTCTTATAAAGGCCGTGTTTTCTTATAAAGGCCGTGTTTTCTTATAAAGGCCGTGTTTTCTTATAAAGGCCGTGTTTTCTTATAAAGGCCGTGTTTTCTTATAAAGGTCGTGTTTTCTTATAAAGGCCGTGTTTTCTTATAAAGGCCGTGTTTTCTTATAAAGGCCGTGTTTTCTTATAAAGGCCGTGTTTTCTTATAAAGGCCGTGTTTTCTTATAAAGGCCGTGTTTTCTTATAAAGGCCGTGTTTTCTTATAAAGGTCGTGTTTTCTTATAAAGGCCGTGTTTTCTTATAAAGGCCGTGTTTTCTTATAAAGGCCGTGTTTTCTTATAAAGGCCGTGTTTTCTTATAAAGGTCGTGTTTTCTTATAAAGGCCGTGTTTTAAAGGTCGTGTTTTCTTATAAAGGTCGTGTTTTCTTATAAAGGCCGTGTTTTCTTATAAAGGCCGTGTTTTAAAGGTCGTGTTTTCTTATAAAGCCTCCCAGCAGTGGAACTCGGTGCCTGAAACAATTCGCGAGTCTTCCTCATTTAATTCATTAGAAAAAAAAAGCCAAAAAGTGGCTCTTGGAGACACAGAATTGTGAGCACTAGTTATATTGAAAATGTATACTTTGCTCATTTCATGTACTATGTATGTATGTAATTATATTGTGTTTTGTAAATTGCTATGTGATTTTAATCTTGCTTTTTTAGGCTCTTTAAGGCTTTTTAAGGGTCTACCGATGAAAATTAGCTTTTCTGCTAACTCTGGCATATTTACATTGTAAAATGTTGATTAATGTGCACTGTCCCTTTTCAAATAAATAAATCTAAAATCTAGACACAGGTACACATAGACACAGGTACATACAGACACAGGTACACATAGACACAGGTACATACAGACACAGGTACAAACAGACACAGGTACACATAGACACAGGTACATACAGACACAGGTACACATAGACACAGGTACATACAGACACAGGTACACATAGACACAGGTACAACAGACACAGGTACACATAGACACAGGTACATACAGACACAGGTACAAGACACATACAGACACAGGTACACATACAGACACAGGTACACATAGACAACAACTACAGGTACACATAGACACAGGTACATACAGACACAGGTACACATAGACACAGGTACATACAGACACAGGTACACATAGACACAGGTACATACAGACACAGGTACACATAGACACAGGTACATACAGACACAGGTACATACAGACACAGGTACACATAGACATAGGTACATATAGACACAGGTACATATATACACAGGTACACATAGACACAGGTACATAAAGACACAGGTACATATAGACACAGGTACATATAGACACAGGTACATACAGACACAGGTACATATAGACACAGGTACACATAGACACAGGTACATACAGACACAGGTACACATAGACACAGGTACATATAGACACAGGTACATCTAGACACAGGTACACATAGACACAGGTACATATAGACACAGGTACATACAGACACAGGTACATATAGACACAGGTACACATAGACACAGGTACATATAGACACAGGTACATACAGACACAGGTACACATAGACACAGGTACATACAGACACAGGTACACATAGACACAGGTACATATAGACACAGGTACATATAGACACAGGTACACATAGACACAGGTACATATAGACACAGGTACATACAGACACAGGTACATATAGACACAGGTACATATATACACAGGTACACATAGACACAGGTACATATAGACACAGGTACATATAGACACAGGTACATATAGACACAGGTACACATAGACACAGGTACATATAGACACAGGTACATATAGACACAGGTACATATAGACACAGGTACATATAGACACAGGTACATATATACACAGGTACACATAGACACAGGTACATATAGACACAGGTACATATAGACACAGGTACATATAGACACAGGTACACATAGACACAGGTACATATAGACACAGGTACATATAGACACAGGTACATATAGACACAGGTACATATAGACACAGGTACATATAGACACAGGTACATATAGACACAGGTACATATAGACACAGGTACATATAGACACAGGTACATATAGACACAGGTACATATAGACACAGGTACACAGGTGAAGCACATCAGGGGCAAACACAGGGAAATAAAAAGGTCCGCTCTCAAAACGCTGATGATCCAAAATGTCCAGGTTGTAAAAATACGATACAACTTGAACTTTTTTTCATTTTCACACCACTAACATCTTGTGATACAACACTTTTCTATCACATAAAACTGTATAAACACAGTTTTGTCATCAGTTTAATCACACATTATATTGTCTGAGCAGCCGCACAGTTTAACGAGATTCCTGCTTTTGTCTCATGTAACAAACAAAACAAAAGCATGAAACCCTGCAGAGGTGACGTCACTGATACGTCCAAATACATGTTTCTAAAACACGTGGAGCGTGACGACACAGGTACAGGGAATATTCCCACCATTAGATGGCAGCAGTGAGCACAGACTCTGTGTGCTGGTGCCGCTCCTGGTCCCTGATCTCAGGTATGGTTCAGTCTGATGTTGTCTCTGTCTGTTTTAGTCATTGTTCATTTCAAACGTTTACATTTCAATAGTGAAGCAAAACCTGCTCCACCTTTTGGTCAAAGAAACACAAAGCATCTAAAGTGATGAAAAACTCCCATAAGAGGGTTCATGAAACACATAACCCAGGAATAAACTACAACTGTTGCACACGGTTTCCTTCATGTTAGCTGTGGCTAACGAGGCTAACTGCTAACAGAGCTAAAGCTGTAGCTTCTCCTTTCTTTGCTTCAGTCCTCGGTGGGACGTACACTGTAGTTCAGTGCGAGAACAAAGCAGATGTGTCACTGATCTGTTTACAGCCGCGGTGCAGATGTGCGACTGCAGAAGAAGCAGATGTGCGACCGAGCAACGAGGTCTGAAGAAATAAATCCAACATTCTACAGTGAAAATCATCAAAACATTACATTCTACTTCCTTGTCCAATCATCTGTCTTGTCCAGCTCGATAGGCCACGGGCCATATCCACTTTTGGGAAGAGCCAGGGCCAGTTCAAGTGGTGGGGGGCACAGGGGCCGCTCAGAGGGGGTGGGGGCCATATGTGGCCCGTGGGCCATACTTTGAGGACCCCTGATTTACAAAAGCTCTCTCTGTGTTGTCCAACTCTCTGACTGTAAGGATTCAGACAGAAACTATCAAAACTACTAATGGACCGTAATGGATCTATTCTGCAGTGTTCTTTTGGGCTGTTGTCGTGGAAACGGAGCAGATGCCTCCAGAGGAAGAGGGCGGCAGCAGGTTATCTTTTGTTGACACCAGCCTGAGCCAATAAAAGGCCATAAAATCATAAAACCTCCTTCCCCCACTTCCTCTGCCGCCAGAAAGCGTCTCTGACCGCGGGAAACGCCGTCTCCATCTGTTCGTGTCCAATGTTCCCTCATCTTTAAAACAAAAGCACTGGCTCCAAACTGTTTTCTCTTCAGTTTAACGAAGCAGAAGAATATTTCACACGACGAGGTGTTTAAACATTAAACATAAGTAGATGTTTTAACTTTGTCATTTCATGTTTTAGAAAGTGGAAAAATGTCTAACATTTGTCTGTCTAGCATTATTCATTCTAATGTGGGGGAAGTGTCTTGCCCAAGGATACAACCACCGTTTGGCACTTTACAGCCGCAGCCACCCCACTGTGTTCCAAGAGGTCTCCCATCACAGGACTAACCAGGTCCTGCCCTACACAGCTTCAGCAGTCTGAGTTTCACTTTTAGGTGGAGCCACAAATATATAACATTTATAATCTATAAATATCATTAAGAACAAAAGCAGAAAATAAATGATGGAAAAGTCTGGATCTGTTCCAAAATTGATTTAATTTATAAAATTTTAACTTCAGTGAAGAACATTAGCGGAAAAAGACTTTTGTTTTAAAAGGGTAAAGGTTAAAGGTCTCATGTGTTCCCCCACCCCTTCTGTCAATATTCTCTGTTTTCAAACTATGACGTAATAAACAGCTCTGTGTGGGCGGCTCATGTCCTCTCAGGACCTCCTGCTGCATCAGGAGGAGGTGCAGGACCTCCTGCTGCTCCAGGAGGAGGTGTAGGACCTACTGCTGCTCCAGGAGGAGGTGTAGGACCTACTGCTGCTCCAGGAGGAGGTGTAGGACCTACTGCTGCTCCAGGAGGAGGTGTAGGACCTACTGCTGCTCCAGGAGGAGGTGCAGGACCTACTGCTGCTCCAGGAGGAGGTGCAGGACCTCCTGCTGCATCAGGAGGAGGTGTAGGACCTCCTGCTGCTCCAGGAGGAGGTGTAGGACCTACTGCTGCTCCAGGAGGAGGTGCAGGACCTCCTGCTGCTCCAGGAGGAGGTGCAGGACCTCCTGCTGCTCCAGGAGGAGGTGTAGGACCTACTGCTGCTCCAGGAGGAGGTGCAGGACCTACTGCTGCATCAGGAGGAGGTGTAGGACCTACTGCTGCTCCAGGAGGAGGTGCAGGACCTACTGCTGCTCCAGGAGGAGGTGCAGGACCTACTGCTGCATCAGGAGGAGGTGTAGGACCTACTGCTGCTCCAGGAGGAGGTGTAGGACCTACTGCTGCTCCAGGAGGAGGTGCAGGACCTACTGCTGCTCCAGGAGGAGGTGTAGGACCTACTGCTGCTCCAGGAGGAGGTGCAGGACCTACTGCTGCTCCAGGAGGAGGTGCAGGACCTCCTGCTGCTCCAGGAGGAGGTGCAGGACCTCCTGCTGCTCCAGGAGGAGGTGCAGGACCTACTGCTGCTCCAGGAGGAGATGCAGTGTGTATGTGTGTGTGTGTATGTGCGGTGCTGTATGTATGTGTATGTGGTGCAGTGTGCGTTGTTTTTGCACACGTGTGTGTGTATATCTGTGTGTGTGTGTTTGTGTGTGTGTGTGAGTGCGTGTATGTGGTGCAGTGTGTGTGTGAGAGTGTATGTGTGTGTGTCAGCTACTTTCTCTGTCTGGGTGCATGTGTGTGTGCGTGTGTGTATGTGGTGCAGTGTGTGTGTGTGTGTGTGAGTGCGTGTATGTGGTGCAGTGTGTGTGTGTGTGTGTGTGTGTGAGTGCGTGTATGTGGTGCAGTGTGTGTGTGTGTGTGTGTGAGTGCGTGTATATGGTGCAGTGTGTGTGTGTGTGTGTGTCATGTGCAGAACATATGTAGCGGATGCAGAGTCTCAGGAAACACCATCATCACAGACGTCTTCTTCACAGACGTCTTCATCACAGACGTCTTCTTCACAGACGTCTTCATCACAGACGTCTTCATCACAGACGTCTTCTTCACAGACGTCTTCTTCACAGACGTCTTATTCACAGACGTCTTCATCACAGACGTCTTCATCACAGACGTCTTATTCACAGACGTCTTCATCACAGACGTCTTATTCACAGACGTCTTCATCACAGACGTCTTATTCACAGACGTCTTCATCACAGACGTCTTATTCACAGACGTCTTATTCAGACGTCTTCATCACAGACGTCTTCATCACAGACGTCTTATTCACAGACGTCTTCATCACAGACGTCTTCATCACAGACGTCTTATTCACAGACGTCTTCATCACAGACGTCTTCTTCACAGACGTCTTATTCACAGACGTCTTCATCACAGACGTCTTCTTCACAGACGTCTTCATCACAGACGTCTTCATCACAGACGTCTTATTCACAGACGTCTTATTCACAGACGTCTTCATCACAGACGTCTTCTTCACAGACGTCTTCATCACAGACGTCTTCTTCACAGACGTCTTCATCACAGACGTCTTCATCACAGACGTCTTCATCACAGACGTCTTCATCACAGACGTCTTCATCACAGACGTCTTCTTCACAGACGTCTTCATCACAGACGTCTTCATCACAGACGTCTTCTTCACAGACGTCTTATTCACAGACGTCTTCATCACAGACGTCTTATTCACAGACGTCTTCATCACAGACGTCTTATTCACAGACGTCTTCATCACAGACGTCTTATTCACAGACGTCTTCATCACAGACGTCTTCATCACAGACGTCTTCATCACTGACGTCTTCATCACAGACGTCTTCTTCACAGACGTCTTCATCACAGACGTCTTCATCACAGACGTCTTCTTCACAGACGTCTTCATCACAGACGTCTTCATCACAGACGTCTTCATCACAAGACGTCTTCATCACAGACGTCTTCATCACAGACGTCTTCATCACAGACGTCTTCATCACAGACGTCTTCATCACAGACGTCTTCATCACAGACGTCTTCTTCACAGACGTCTTATTCACAGACGTCTTCATCACAGACGTCTTCATCACAGACGTCTTATTCACAGACGTCTTCATCACAGACGTCTTCTTCACAGACGTCTTATTCACAGACGTCTTCATCACAGACGTCTTATTCACAGACGTCTTCATCACAGACGTCTTCATCACAGACGTCTTCATCACAGACGTCTTATTCACAGACGTCTTCATCACAGACGTCTTATTCACAGACGTCTTCTTCACAGACGTCTTATTCACAGACGTCTTCATCACAGACGTCTTCATCACAGACGTCTTCATCACAGACGTCTTCATCACAGACGTCTTCATCACAGACGTCTTCTTCACAGACGTCTTATTCAGACGTCTTCATCACAGACGTCTTCATCACAGACGTCTTATTCACAGACGTCTTCATCACAGACGTCTTCATCACAGACGTCTTATTCACAGACGTCTTCATCACAGACGTCTTCTTCACAGACGTCTTCATCAAAGACGTCTTCTTCACAGACGTCTTATTCACAGACGTCTTCATCACAGACGTCTTCATCACAGACGTCTTACGGGGGATTTACACAGTAGGCGTAAACAGCGCGTACGCGTTTACTGCGCGCTCTCTGCGCGTAACATTTTTTTGGAGTATCTACACTGACCGTGCGCGCAGGTCCGCGGCTTCTGATGCTCTCCCTGTGTAGTCTATGGAGCAGTGTAGAGGACAGTACGGGCCAGAGGACTGATGTAGAGCAACACAAATCACATGCATGTGTTTGTCTTCATGGTCTCTGTTGCTGGTTTGGCCAGACGCGAGACTTTATGAATGAAAAAAAACGATGTCCAGAATCACTGTAAAACCTGCTGCTCCTCCTGCTGATGTTTAGACACAAGTGCAGTGTGCGTGCAGATGTGATCTAAAGCCAAGGACCGCTAGAAAAATAAAGTTTTACATGAGATTTCAATGGGAGACGCGTTGGTGCGCGCACAAAATTAGAAATCCATCCTAAATTAGAGCGCAGCTTCGCGTCACATGTCCGTCATACGCGCGTATAACGCTAGAAGTGTAAATATCATCATAGGTTAACATGGAAAAAAGTTACGCGCGTCTGCTGCGCGTATAACGCGTACGTGCTGTAACGCGTGATGTGTAAATTAGCAGTTATTCACAGACGTCTTATTCACAGACGTCTTCATCACAGACGTCTTCTTCACAGACGTCTTCATCACAGACGTCTTCTTCACAGACGTCTTCATCACAGACGTCTTCATCACAGACGTCTTCATCACAGACGTCTTCTTCACAGACGTCTTCTTCACAGACGTCTTCATCACAGACGTCTTCATCACAGACGTCTTCTTCACAGACGTCTTCATCACAGACGTCTTCTTCACAGACGTCTTCTTCACAGACGTCTTCATCACAGACGTCTTCATCACAGACGTCTTATTCACAGACGTCTTATTCACAGACGTCTTCATCACAGACGTCTTCTTCACAGACGTCTTCATCACAGACGTCTTCTTCACAGACGTCTTCATCACAGACGTCTTCATCACAGACGTCTTCTTCACAGACGTCTTATTCACAGACGTCTTCATCACAGACGTCTTCATCACAGACGTCTTCATCACAGACGTCTTCATCACAGACGTCTTCATCACTGACGTCTTCATCACAGACGTCTTCATCACAGACGTCTTCTTCACAGACGTCTTCATCACAGACGTCTTCATCACAGACGTCTTCTTCACAGACGTCTTCATCACAGACGTCTTCATCACAGACGTCTTCATCACAGACGTCTTCATCACAGACGTCTTCATCACAGACGTCTTCATCACAGACGTCTTCATCACAGACGTCTTCATCACAGACGTCTTCATCACAGACGTCTTCATCACAGACGTCTTCATCACAGACGTCTTCATCACAGACGTCTTCATCACAGACGTCTTCTTCACAGACGTCTTCATCACAGACGTCTTCATCACAGACGTCTTCTTCACAGACGTCTTCATCACAGACGTCTTCATCACAGACGTCTTCATCACAGACGTCTTCATCACAGACGTCTTCATCACAGACGTCTTCATCACAGACGTCTTCATCACAGACGTCTTCATCACAGACGTCTTCATCACAGACGTCTTCATCACAGACGTCTTCATCACAGACGCTGAACCTTCTGCTGAAGACGAGCACGATCTAACAGGACTTTGATGTGTTTTAACAACACAAGTTTATCGGTTTAGCACAGTTCAAACACAGGAAACTCAAAGTGCTGAACCAATCAGAGGAGGCCATAAACTCATAAATCATCACAGTGCTTTAAAAATCCTTCAGTTCATCCATTTTCTTCCCCTTAATCCATTTCAGTCAGAGCTGCAGTCAGTCACAGAGCACCAGCCCAAAATCCTTCAGTTGTTGCAGAAACAGAACTGTTTTTAACCCGGATTTAAATATTGTCAGAGAAGAAGCCTGTCTCAGATTTTCAGGAAAACTGATTTTAGCATAAATGTGATCATAGTTGGTTCAGTTTTTACCAAGGGGAAGACGAAAAACTCTGTCTTCTTTCGTCAGGACTCTGAGGAGCACAGGGACTGGCCTCCTGCTGGGACTCTGAGGAGCACAGGGACTGGCCTCCTGCTGGGACTCTGAGGAGCACAGGGACTGGCCTCCTGCTGGGACTCTGAGGAGCACAGGGACTGGCCTCCTGCTGGGACTTTGAGGAGCACAGGGACTGGCCTCCTGCTGGGACTTTGAGGAGCACAGGGACTGGCCTCCTGCTGGGACTCTGAGGAGCACAGGGACTGGCCTCCTGCTGGGACTCTGAGGAGCACAGGGACTGGCCTCCCACTGGTCCCAGAGTCAGGACTAAACATGGGGAGGCAGAGTCTCAGGGTGCTTTCACACCTGCACCATTTAGTCCACTTAAAGCGGACTGGAGTCTGGAACACCTGCAAGTACGGTTCGTTTGAGCAGGTGTGAAAGTGGACCAGTTAAATTTGGTCCGGACTAAAGAACCGCACCGAGACCACCATATGGAGCTGGTCTCGGTGCAGTTCCATGTGGACTCCAGTCTGGTTCGCTGCTGGTGAGAACGCAGACCGGCCTCGATATGGCCCTGCTCTGTTGCGTAGCTCACTTTTTGACACACACAATTGTTTTTTTATATGATAGAATCGTCAAAAACACCCGCAGATTGTTCTCGTGCTGAATCCGCAATACATACTGGAACAACAGCATTTGTTCTGCACAAAACAACGATGATAAAAAATAGCCAAAAAACGCAGAGTAGCACAGTCACATACGTCATCCAATACACAGTATTTTGTAAACCACATGGGTGGCGGAATATGTAACATCTACAGTGGTTGGTTCATTTGCAAAAACACTGGTGTGAATGAGAACCGAACTAGTTGAGAACTGCAACATTGTAACAACTTTAGGGCCCAAGCGAACCACTTTACTGGACCAACAGGTGTGAAAGCACCCTCAGATTCATGCAGCTAAAACCTGGAACAGTCTTCCTGAAAAGACTTCCTGAGGCTTGAGTTTTGTTTTGCTGCAACAACTGAATAGTTTCTGCACTTTTTAAATGTACTGTAATTAGTTTTCATATTTTTTGATTTAACCACTTCCTTCCTGGTTTTGTTGCCTTGCACTTCGAGTTGCCTTGTGTATGAGTTGTGCTATTCAAATACACGTTTAATAAAATGACCCTTTTCTTTCTGCGGAAATTGTATCAAAAGTTCACTTGGAGGCCCACACGGAGGCCCACATGGAGGCCCACACGGAGGCCCACATGGAGGCCCACGTGGAGGCCCACATGGAGGCCCACATGGAGGCCCACGTGGAGGCCTCTGGTTCTCAGATCAGCGCAGACGAGAGCGAGCTGAAATTGTTGCATAAAAGTGTGGATTTTTAAAAATCAATGGATTTCAATGAATAAATAGTTAATGACAAGAGACACTAAAATCCCGCTTAACCCATTTTTGAGAAAGCTGCAGGTTCTAAAACATTTTGTGAACATTGAGGTCTCTGTGGAGGTTTCCTGTGGCCCTGTGGTAAAGTCTGCAGTACCGAGGGTCACCACCGGCTGGAGACCGGCGTAAGCAGCGAGTCTGGCTTAGATAGAATCAAACATGTTCCTCGTGCAGGACACCACGGTCTCTCTGTGGAATCCCCGCTTTGGAAACTTCTTCAAAGCACAATTGTTCCATTATTACAAAAATCAAAGGCCTTTCATCTAAATCTGTGTTTTCTTTCCTTTTTACGCATACAATCCTCTACAACAGATTCAAAGTTCTCCACCAGTTGTTCCCAAAGTGGGGGACAAGGGACGAATGAATGAACGAAAATACAGAAGGCTAAATGACTCTGGTAAGATGGAAACAGTTGACACATTCCAGTCTGCAGTTAGAGCTTTATATCCATCACAGTGAGTGAAATAAACTGCAATGGACTCTGAAAACAAAATGTGAAAGTATTTAATCTTCAACTTCATAATGACATCACATGGAGTTAATTGTTGCTTGAGAATTATGGACACTCAGACGCCTCACATGGCATTATTCTTTCACTCCATACACAGTGGGATAAACTACTACTGTAGCCACAGCTGCCCTGGGGCAGACTGACACATGCTCCCTCTGCCTCCATCACTGAGCAGCTTTTTATGTCCCAACTGTCACTTGTGTTTGTGTCGTATCGTCTGAAACAACATTCTTTAACCAAATATACAGTGCCTTGCGAAAGTATTTGGCCCCCTTGAACCTTTCAACATTTCGCCACATTTCAGGCTTCAAACATAAAGATATAAAAATTAAATTTTTTGTCAAGAATCAACAACAAGTGGGACACAATCGTGAAGTGGAACAAAATTTATTGGATAATTTAAACTTTTTTAACAAATAAAAAACTGAAATGTGGGGCGTGCAATATTATTCGGCCCCCTTGCGCTAATACTTTGTAGCGCCACCTTTTGCTGCAATTACAGCTGCAAGTCGCTTGGGGTATGTCTCTATCAGTTTTGCACATCAAGAGACTGGAATTCTTGCCCATTTTTCCTTGCAAAACAGCTCAGGCTCAGTGAGGTTGGATGGAGAGCGTTTGTGAACAGCAGTCTTCAGCTCTTTCCACAGATTCTCGATTGGATTCAGGTCTGGACTTTGACTTGGCCATTCTAACACCTGGATACGTCTATTTGTGACTGTGTTGGTTCTACTGGATCTTAGCGCTGCCTTTGATACAGTAGACCACACAATTCTTTTATCACGCCTACAACACCTCGGCCTCTCTGGTGCTGTCCACAAATGGTTCACTTCTTATTTAACAGACAGATCCTTCATGGTAAGTTTGGATACCTGCTCCTCTCAGGTCCATAAAATCACATGTGGTGTGAAAAAAAAAAACTTACTAACCTGTACATGCTCCCTCTTGGCGGTGTCGTCAGGAGACATGGAATTAACTTCCACAGTTATGCAGATGATACACAGCTGTACATCTCCATGTCTCCTGATGACACCAGGCCAAAGGATGCTCTTTTTAACTGCATTTTAGACCTGAAATCCTGGATGGCAGAAAACTTTCTCCAGCTTAACCAGGACAAAACTGAGGTTTTAGTCATCGGTCCTGAGGCCCAGAGAGAGAAACTTTTATCAAAACTCCAATCACACTCTTTTAATCCATCATCACAAGTGAAAAATCTGGGCGTAATCTTTGACTCTGAGCTGACTTTTATTCCTCACATCAAGAGTATCACAAAAATAGGTTTTTATCATCTAAAGAACATCGCCAGAGTCCGCCCCATTCTCTCTCGGGGCAACACGGAGACGCTGATGCATGCTTTTATCACCAGTCGCATTGACTATTGTAATTCCCTGCTCTCTGGTCTTCCCAAAAAGAACATTGCAAGTCTTCAATTACTCCAAAACTCGGCCGCACGTGTCCTGACTAAGACCAGGGGGCGGGACCACATTACACCGGTTTTAAAATCGCTGCATTGGCTCCCCGTGTGTTTCAGAATCGATTTTAAGGTTCTTTTAATGGTTTTTAAATGTCTTAATGGTCTTGGGCCTTCTTATCTTTCAGATTTGCTTTTATCCTATGAACCTTCCCGGCCCCTGCGCTCCTCCGGCAGCAGACTCCTAACCATCCCCAAAGTCAGGACACACACTCACGGCGAGGCATCTTTCCAGCACTACGGCCCCCGTCTCTGGAACAGTCTGCCGGAGGAGCTCAGGGCCGCAGAGAACGTTCATATTTTTAAAAGTAGGCTCAAGACGCACCTTTTTAGAGTAGCTTTTGATTAGTTTTTATTATTCCATTCTATTTATCTTTTATTATTTATTATTTATTATATTGCTATTGCTATTATTCATGTATTGTGTGTTCCTTTTAGTCTCACATTTTAGTGTTTTACTTATTGTATTGTTTTTAGTGTACCCAGTGTTTCCTCTGGAGGAGCCCTCTGCACCAGGAGCAGTGGTCGGTGTGGCTGCGGGGGTCGGACTCTTGGGCCTGGTGGGGGCCTGGGGCCTCGGTTTCATGTCTCCTCTGGGTCCTGTGTCGTCTCCTGTGGCTACGGGCGGCTCTCTGCTCCTGGTGCAGACGGCTCCTTGGATGACGCTTTTTCAGCTGGTTGCATCTGAACCCTGCCAAGTCTCTCATCATGTTTTTATTGTTTTACTGGTGTGTGTGTGTGTGTGTGTGTGTGTGTGTGTGTGTGTGTGTGTGTGTGTGTGTGTGTATGAGTGTTCATGAGCACGTGTGTGTGTGTTTGTCTGTGGTTTGGGGGGGGTCTGTTGGGTGGTCTGGGGGAGGGGTCTTGGGTCGGCGGGATTGTTTTTAACCAATCTGTAAAGCACTTTGTGTTGCATCTTATGTATGAAAAGCGCTTTATAAATAAAATTTGATTGATTGATTTGTGAACCATTCCATTGTAGATTTGACTTTATGTTTTGGATCATTGTCCTGTTGGAAGATAAATCTCCGTCCCAGTCTCAGGTCTTTTGCAGACTCCAACAGGTTTTCCTCCAGAATGGTCCTGTATTTGGCTCCATCCATCTTCCCATCAATTTTAGCCTCTTCCTTGTCCCTGCTGAAGAAAAGCAGGCCCAAAGCATGATGCTGCCACCACCATGTTTGACAGTGGGGATGGTGTGTTCAGGGTGATGAGCTGTGTTGCTTTTACGCCGAACATATCGTTTTGCATTGTG